AGTAGGAATAGTAATGTGTGTTGTTAATTGATCCTCTCTCTCTCCCTCCCTTCCTCCCTCCCTCTCTCTCTCTCTCTTTCTCTTTCTCTCTCTCCCTCTCTCTTTCTAGGTGAATTGACTTACTCCTCAGAGAAGATTGATGAGTTGAAAGGTAGTTCAGGAGGTCACAGGAGGACCAAGTCAGACAGTGGAACTGAGAGTAGGAGTGTGTAAGTACAGGACAATACTAGCACCTGTATTGTAATCATTATTTCCCTCCATCTCTCTCTCTCTCTCTCTCTTTCTCTCTCTCTCAGAGTTGTTTTTGATAAACCTCCTAGTCTAGTAAGAGGTAAGTATATAATTATGTTTTATTTATTGGTTTGTTTGTTTGTTCGTATTTTATATATTTATAAGTATATGTATTTATTTATTTATTTGTTTGTTTGTTTGTTAAAGTTGAGCAGACAACTTGCATGGAGAACCTTCAAAGTTTACTGAATCACAAGAAAGAGCTGTACAAGAAAGGTTTGTATATTATTATCATTATCATTGTTGTTGTTGTTGTTGTTGTTGTTGTTGTTGTTGTTGTTGTTGTTGTTAGATATGCAAGGAATGGACAAAGGTTATTTGTATTACCCATTCTACCAGGCACCAGCAAGGTACGGAGAGAGAGGGGGGAGGTGTGGAGGTTAAATTATTTTATTATTAATTGTAGTTGGGCTCCAAAAGGACAGCTGGTGGCTCACATTCATGATCACTTACAAGCAGTGAACAAGTAATGACTTTTAAATGTGATATAATGATTGAAAATTTACTGTTACACATGTATAATATGGGCTGTATGTGTACATGTACATGTACATGTTCTTTTTCTCTCTCAGGATAAAGGTCATTCCTGATAGTACGTATTTTGTGTCATTCTCTGACGACAGTACAACTAAGATATGGGATGTGAATAAAATGGAGGGACTACATGTGATCAATAAACCAAGACTAGTGTACAGTCAGCAAGGTAAGAGAGAGAAAGGGAGGGAGGGGGGAAGGAAAGGAATGATCTTTGCTAATCGAAGGCTTACCTTTTGTACATTCTCCTAGATATTTATTTAATTATTTATTTAATTATTATTTAATTATTATTATTATTTTAATAGGTGGTAAGATAAAGACTGGTTGCTATTGTATGGGTAATCAAAGTATAGTGGCAGCATCTTCTAATGGAACTATACATGCTTTCAAGTAATGAATTGATAATCACAATTACATTGTATTACTAGTATTATTACTGTCGGCTTAAGAGTGTTAATTGTCCTTCTGTATAGACTTTAAATAACATGCATTTTCTTTGTATCTGTTCTGTCTTTTGTCCTTGTTTGTACTGTAGAATTTGCTAAATTTCTTATTGTACATAATGCATTATTTGTTGTTAGTATTATTATTATTGTTATTATTATTATTATTATTATTATTATTATTATTATTATTAGTATTGATCGTGAGCCTAATTCAAAACAAAAGGCTCTTAAAGCTAAAGATGTCCTCAGGTGGGAGTTGGACCCATCTCTTCATGGCAGTGTGGTGGAGATGACTGAGATGACCTGTGGAGGACAGAATGTGCTAGCTTTTGTCACAACTAAAGGTCACCTCTGTGGCCTTGACCTGAGGACCCCTAATCTAGCATGGGACCTTGAGAATGACCCAAGACACGGTAAAGAGTGTTTACTTGAGAAAGCAGCAGCTTTAGTATAGTATATATTATTGTTATTATTATAGTGTGTGGTTTTTTCCTAGAATTGGTTTCAAAAAATCTATTACATTTTAAATGCATTATTGATATTATGTACAAATTAAGCTTATATTGCATCATGACAGGGACTTGTATAGGACTCTTGTTGTTGGTGTTGTACTGTGTATTATGAATTCTATGCTAAGTAGAAAGCTAGAGCAGTTCCAGTTATGTTTACATGTACATGCAATTCTTTTAGAATGCAAGGAATTCATTCTCTTCTCTAATTTGTAACTATTATTCACAATTAATTATACATTCTATTTTTACTTTTTAGGGCTAATGCTGTCCATGGCATTGGATCCGTTCCAGAACTGGATTGCACTTGGTACCAGTCTCGGATATCATATAGTATGGGACATGAGGTTCCAGCTGCCAATATGTAACTGGAAACATGAAGGACACGGACGACGTAAGAATAATAATAAATATTCATGACTACTAATAACTACCAATAACTATTAATAACTAGTTCAATAACTATTTATAACTAAATATACTAATAAATTCAGATATTAACTATTAAAAAGCTATTACCATATTGTCTCTCTCTCTCCCCTTTCCATAGCTTATGTTCATCGTATACAGCAGCTCAGTTCTCATCCCAATCAGCTTCAGACTGTTCTATCAGCAGCCAGTGGTAACAATGAGATATCAG